ATTTTCCTGTTCTCTTGCAATTGTGGTAAGAACATGGAGAGACTGAGGCTTGTGGGATAATAGTCCTAAGACCCCAGTTGCTCATCCTTCAAGCTGATCAAAGAGGAAATCTCTTCCAACCACATAAAAATTCCAAGATTCCAGTTTCTTCTCCCTCTTACGACCCTTCCTCCTCCTTTAAGAAACTCAAGTTTCTTCTTCCCCCTTCTAAGTATGCAAAGGAAATTTGTTCCTTCCAGCAACGCCAAGGTTGCAGTTGCTTTTTCCCCTATGCACTGTAGGTGGAACAACCATCTTTTATTTCTGCAGAAACATTGCAAATCAGAAATGTTATAATGCAATGCAATGCAATGCAAGTTGAGGCTTGCCCATACCTCAATGCAAATATGGTGCATCCCGCCCGCCTTGTTTTTCTGCAGGAACCCAGCAATTGGACTTTTCTCTCCCAGCGGATGCAGAAGCTCCAGTTTTGTGTTGCCCAGTTCCACAAAGACGGTGTAGACGCCGTGTTCGGGAAGAGGCACAGCGTCGCTTACTTGAGCTCCTAAAACGTCCCGGTACAAAGATGTCGCTTTCTCCAAATCGGGCACCGCGATCGCCACGTGGTTGAGCCGGCCCAGTTTCCACGAAGGTGGTGCAGTCTTTTGGGATATCGTAGTAGAAACGGACAACGTTCTTGCTATCGGACTGATTTTTTGCAACCAGGGGAGGAGCCCTGAAGGGAAATAAAATTTGGGATGGAAAGAATATTCAAAAACATTTGAAAAATGGTTGCAAATTTGGGTATCAAGGAATCCTGTTGAGAAGAATCTGAGACCACATTTGAATTCATGGGATCGTCGTAAGTCGACAGGCGACTTGAAGACAAAGCATGCTGGTGCCTCACAAACTACAGATCCCAGGACTCTTTAGGATGGAGCTGTATCAGTTAAAGTGGAGTCAAACTGCATTATTTTTACAGTGTAGATGCACACTACGAAAACAGAAAGCTGGATATTATTCTGATTGTAGCATAGGGGTTTGAGTGTTGGACTATGACTCTGGAGACCAGGGTTCAA